TTGAGGAAAGTGGAGGAGCTTCTCAACCACACATGGGAACGCTGACGAGATTTCACGCGCGTCTAGGCCATCTTGCTTTCGACTCCATCGAGCGTATGGCTAATGAACTAGATCCGGGTTATAAGATCACCTGACACAAGCGTTACAAATGCGTCACCTATTCTCAAGGGAAAGGCAAGCGTACCTCTCAGCCGAAGCAAGAATCTGGACAACACTTTCCGATTGACAGAATCAAAGGAGTTAACTTCAGTGATCTCAAGGGCCCCATCACGCCACCAGATAAACATTAGATTATATACTTAGTTACGTTTATTGACTACAAGTCCAAGTCCGTTAGATTTTTGAAGCGACACACAATAAATCGAGCGGTAGCCAAGTTTCCAGACTTTGTTGCATGGTTTGAAGCCGAGTTTGACTGTCGCTTGCGTCTTTTGAACACTGATGGCACTGGTGAGTACGATACTGTGTCGGCGGATCTCTTCTACAAGCAATCTGGGTTCAAACGGTAGACAACTAAAGCCGGTACTCCTCAATCCAATGGTAAGGAGGAAATAACAAATCACACAATTTTTATTTTAGTCCGGTGCATGCTCTTTGGGTCCAATGTACCACTTACACATTGGAGCAACGCTGCCGAGTATGCTGCCTTCATTTAGAATTGAAGTCCCACGCGTGCCAACGCTAAGAGAGCTTCCCCGCTGAAAGTTCTTACTGGCAGAGATCCCAGCCTACAAGAAATTGTTGTGTTTGGATCACCTTGCAAGATTTGGCGCGACCTTCTTAAAGATTCTTAAAACCCCACACAGTCATCGGATGTATTCTGTCTGGGCAAGGACAAAGGGACCAAGGGCTACAAGGTGAAACTATGTGGTGACCGCCATATTGTCACGACACGTCATGTCACACACATAGAGACGATTGATGATTCTACCAACGAGCTCATCGCCGATGCACTTCTATGCGAGGACGACGCTGAACTAAAAGCGATTGCGACGTCTCGTTCAACTAATGCTAAACACCAACATGACGCGACACGGAAGAAGATCACACAAGCGAACAAGGTGGGTCAAAACAAGGTCAAGTAAAAACATCAAAAAGTACTAAAAGGCGTGCGCAGGTCGATAAGAGCGAAAAAGAAGTCTCAGAGGCAGCCAGAAGCTGACGGTGAATATGGTTTTGACGCACAAAAGACCCCGCAGCCATCAAACATTAATTCGTCGATAATTTCCTCTCCATCACTTGGCCGAGAAACACTTTCTCGATTGGCATTCGCGGTATTGCCTACACCGACCAAGAACAAGCGTCCGGTCGATGAGCCTGAATCGCTAGATTATGGCCAAGCACGACGCATCGCGAACAGTGACTGGTAGAAGGCCGCCGAGCAGGAAGAGCTGCACTTGCTGGCAACGAACAAGAATTGGAACATTGTCGTACGTCCTCGAAGCACCAGACCAGTACCAACCAATTGGGTTTACAAGACAAAACGAATTGGAAATGGTGAAATCTACAACTTGAAGACACGACTTGTGGGTCGCGGTGATTTACGGATTAAGGGCAAAAGTTACATGTTAACGTACTCGGCTGTTATACCAATGGTCATTATTTTTATCATCGTCATATCCTCGATTATGTGGCGCGTACCAGCAAGACATGGCGTAGTCCCTAGTGCTTATGTCAAGGCATCACTCAAAGAAGACTATAAGATTCTGCTGGCGAAGCGCGTTGCCCGGTACGTCAGTGGCACGCGCATGACATTTCTGCGTATGAAGCATGACGACGGTCCGACATTTCCTCTTCGACTTGTGTCATATACTGACGCAGACTTTTCGGGAGATGTGGACGACCGTAAATCTATTAGCGCTGGCATCCAGTTTGTTGAGATTTTTAATTGCTGGGTAGCACTGCCGCAAACAGACTGCAGTGGATTTATCGACTGCAGAAGCCGAGTTTGCGTCTGCTGCGGCTAGAGGCGTGAAGATATTGTGGGTCAAGGAACTAGTGCTAGAAATAGGCATGCAAGTCAAGACACCTGTCGTCCTGCGCATCGACAACAAAGCAGCAACTTGATAAATTGACAACGAGGCAGCGTCTGCAAACGGGAGACGTGATGACATCAAGCTTAATTTTTGCGCGACTTCGCTGCAAAAGGAAAGCTGAAGACGGAGTTTGCAGAAACAAAAGCTATTATTGCGATTCGCTGAAGAAGTCGCTTCCAGCACCTTGGCTTCAAGAGATGTGCGACGCGATCGGTTTAGTGATAATCCTCTGAGACGAGAGGAGTGTTGGAAGCCACATGACATTTTGTGTTGAAGTTGTATGGTGCGTCTCAGTGGAAGAGGCACACGCAATGAACCGTTTCGCGGACAGGAAGTACTGATGGGATAAATGCGAAGATCTATAAGATACAAGGACGCCTCTTCAGAAACCATGGAAAGATATTCAAGCAGCATGTGTCGACCGGACTAACAACGCTAATATATATTCACTTTTTCATTTCCTCTCTGCGTTGCGGGTCTCTTTCCCACAGTTCCAACACCACGTATGCTATCATCATGTCAATAAGCTTGTTCTGATGGCTTGAAGTGGGGTCAACGAAAATACCACGGTGACCAGAAACCATCGTGTGACACAATCGGCTTTAGCTTAGGCGAGGGTCTTCGACTTGATCCCTGCGACGAGTCGTCCGGTTTGTCAGACGCCCCAACATTTCGCGACGCAAATCCATTACGACCTGACTGCCCGGACTAGACTTTAACGTCATCGTCTTCGCATACCGCGTCTCATTAGAGGACTGGGCAGGTGATTTTAGTTCGGATAGAGTATCCGACTCGACCAAGTATTTTAAATTATATCGATTGTTCTTTTGACGTGGGTCACCCACCCGCGGCAGGGTATGCGGATGTACTATCTACACGTAATTCATTGTCACGTCCATCTGCAACGATTGACGATGTGGACTGCTCAGTAGCATCAGCAGGCGAACTTGTTGACAGATGCGTAGTGTCCAGTAGGTGGTTATTCGATACGGCTTCTTGTTGAAAGTTATAACATGCATCTGTCTCTAGTTGCTTTGCCTACCAATCATGTCCGATGTCTTGCTCACCAATCGATCTACATGCAGCATCACCATCCAACCATGCACGCTTCCATATCCTGCCCGAAACCTACAGGTAATTACGTAGGGTAAGCAAATGAATGTGAGTTTGCGATAGCATACGTCCTCTTCAACCTGTTATCTTCAACAGAACTAACGACTGCTGCTAATTATATACTTGCCCTTTGGGCATCTTCACGCATTCGCGCAGCCGCATTCATAGCAGCATTTGCCGCACTTCTCAGGCACTTGGAAGCCTTGCGCGTGAAGGTCAAAATGCTTTGCATTGACCAACAAGTACTCCCTTGCATAGAGACTAATCCAACGGTGGTCATGCTGTCACCAAACTCTCGTCAACCAGTCACTAAAGTGACTTATACGTAATGAAGATAGTGCAGCGGACGGAGCCTGTTACACGTTATTGGCACGGCAGGTGTCAGTGTATACATTATTCTGATAATGTTTTTTTACAAATAATACTCTTGCGGACAATGTTGACGGACTTTTTTCTTTAGAGGTAACATTTGACATTGCTTTTTTAGATTTGTGATTATATGCCATGATATTATCTGAATAAGCGACCAATCGCTGCTAGGCGCGCGCATTGGGTGGTGAGTGAAATTACGCATTGGAAGTTTGCAGTATGTTTTAGTTAAGTAAGATAGAGAAGGCTTTTTATAGAGGTTTGCTAAACTAAATATGCAGTTTCGCTTTCTTTCCTTATAAGCAACTCTTGCCCAAATCTTCACTTACTTTGCACGTACAATGCACGTGTAGTATAGGAGCACATACCCTTGTACTGTATCGGTACAAGGGCTTACCAGTTACCTGGTTAGGAGTGTGCCCCATTTCAAATCGAGTTTGGATCGATAGCTTTCTTGCATGGTTACATTACAGCAAATCTTGCCAAGCTCGAAAAACTCACCACAGCCACCACAATTCCATAGTCGTCCGTACGTAGCTAAGGAAATGGACTTTGACAGCATTGTGAGTTTGTAGTATCGGTTGTACTGAGGAGGAGTCGCGAGCCTGAATCTGACGTCTAATTTCTGGCAGGAGGATGTTGGGCTGACAAACAGGAACAAGGAGTGCCTAGACATCGTATCTGGAGACGGTCGAACACAATGACCTTACCTTGCGATGGTCGTGGTGTAGTAGAATATCACTAGCCATCCCCTCTTCGAAGACGACGATTTAAAGGGAAGATGAATTCTAATGTCGGCTTGTACTTTCTTCTCTGACAATTACAAGCATGGCCGGACACAATGTGCCCGTCGGTATTACGCATATGCCATGACGATACACATAATTCCACCATAGACGCTGGCTCGTGTAGTCGTTTGTCCACGAAAGTTGGATAAAACTCTAGGGTGGCTTTTGTCGCGCTGTTGGGAGTTCGACATATTTACCACTTGGCAGTCATCCCGTACCCGCATGACAGACTCTACGAGACCATGGATCAAATAAGTCTTGCACCACAAAGTTGGAAAAGCAAAGACTGACGGGCTGACGGGACATACTCGACCCATGCCACAAGCGCAATAACAACATTCGATTTGATATCGAACGCCGTTAATCAAAGCATCTTCAAAAAACTCGAATTTGCTTCCACATTGGACAACATACAACGAGCGAGCACGATGACCTGTTCCCCAATCTTATGTATCGCAACGAGACCTCTACGGAGCACTTTTTTACAAAATGACGCCTAGCATGACGGTCATCATATCGACATACGACTGCCCACTGAACTGTCCAATTTTCCATAGCGTTTTTTTGCGGCGACGCGGCTGTCAGGCTATGTAGCAACTGCGCTTGGCATTCGGTATACACAAGTCGTACTGGGTCACACGTGCTTCGTGAGAATCGAAGGCAAGCTCACCCCTCTACATCGATCCTTCTGCGTTCAGCATCTCTGTTGCAGCAACTTGAGGGCAAGTATCGCTGCTGGCTTTGGCAGAAGCTGAGGAATGAGCGGCTCGATCTGTATGATCTTGAGGTCGCGCTAAACGTCATCCATAGACAACACGTGCATGTCAGCGATTGTCAGTAGGCGCTGACAAAGTGTAAGTACACACTGTACCGTAAAGTGCCCCTGTTTGGCATTCCGTTTCGGAGGTGGCTGCTGAAAAGAAAAGGACACGCGCAGTCCAACCACCAGTTGTTCGAGCACTTGAGGCAGCGCCGGATACTTCCAGAGAAGCTCCCGTTTCATCCGCCAAGCGGGAACGCCAAGCAGAGCTTCCGTCGCTTCGTCGAACATGATCGCGTCGGCAATCGTTGAGCCGTACTGCAGCTGCAGCTATCGGGAACAACCAAAACAGATATGAAAAAAAAGGAAAAACGAACGCAAGTCGTGAACGTGCTCGGCCAATATGGACCGTACCTTCAGTCGGTACTTGAACTGCAACTCATCTCGGCGACTCATTCGGCCACAAGACGAGCATCGAACTTGCAAGAGCTCGAAATCTGGTCGTTTCCTCGATCCCATTTGCAAAGTCATTGATGTAAAGCACTGCGGACATGCTGCATATCTACATTGTCATCACATAAGGGCATCATCACACCACTCGTTCATACTGTGTTTGCAAGTTGCAAGTCGTTGGCGATTCAGGTAGGAGCATGAAAGCATAGCTGCAACTATACGAAGAGATCGAACTATAGATCGAACGTATAGGTCGATGCCATCCTACATCATGTCGTGAAGTGCCGCCTTCTCGATCACGCCACTGGGGACGAACTGGGTCATGTCGAAAATGGGTCAAACACACAACAACGACGACAAGGCGGAAAAAGGGTCCATAAACCTACACTATCGCACATGTGTTTCCAGCTTTTCCTTTTGTGGCCCACACAACACATGCCGCGCTTTTGGCGCCAAAGGCGGTGTCATTCCTCGTCGCTGCAGTCGCTATGGCCAGCTCAAGTACGAGCGTCGGCTCACTGGAATACGTCTCGATCGCTGGAAGTAGCAACACGGCTCTTGTGCGACGGCTATTGCGTCGTGCACGACGCTTTTCCAGTCGCGTACCTCACGCAGTTGCGTCATGAAATGAAGACATTATCCAGAAATGGGCACTTGTACCCGAACGCCACGCACATTGTGCAAAACGGAGGAGCGAAAAAGAGGGGCACAAACGACCGGACAGCCACGACACTGCTCTTGGAGAAACGCGGTATTTGGGAAACCGAATTGGCGCTGCCCGAAATACGACGCGACGAGACGGACGTGCCATTTCTAAAGGATTTCTATGACCAACAAGTGGTATCCACTGTGCTGCGACACGCGCTGCCCGCGTGGCTGGGAATGTCCGGCCAGATGGTCAAAGTACAGTACAATGCAGGCCAAGACGCGTGTTTCCCAATGCACTTTGATACCTATGGAGACGACGGCAAGTGCGTCACTGCAGTGCTGTATCTGAACAGAGGATGGGCGCCAGCACATGGCGGGGAGCTGGTGCTCTTTCCGTTTCCAAGGGAACGGGTTGTGGTCCAGCCACAGTTTGGTACACTGGTACTCTTTTCGTCCCAGCAAATGCTGCACCGAGTGATGCCGGCGTTATGCCCGCGCTATGCTCTCACGACGTGGCTGTACCATTGTCCAGAACCCGGCTGGAAAGCTGAACGCGACGCTTTTTATCGTGATCGTTGCATTGCAAACGGTGCCGTACACGCGTCAAGTGACGACGAGCAGGTGCAGTGTTGTTCCATGATTGGTAAGCTCCTTCGGTCTCCACTTCGTCGCCATTTGCTCAAGTTGATCTATGCGCAAGAGTGGACGCAGTCGCTGCGTGCTTCGCATGTGCAAACCGACGCATTTGGCCAGTACATGGCAACGCACGCGCACGAGTTGCAAGTGATTGAAGCAGCAGTGGTTCAGGTTCTTGGTCGTTTTCGAGCCAAAGACGGTGGCAAGAGCAGCAAGTTGCCGCGAACAAAGGAGGAGTTGATGCAGCGATTCGCAGACGAGGATAGCCAGAAGTTGCTCCAAGCTCTCCAGCTGCAGTGGTTCTAGGGTCGCTCTGTGGTGCCCGCATACAAGTGCAATGGGTTGGCAAGCACACTACGGGACAGTACAGTCCTCAACCGCTATGGCTTCTTGCCGTCCACGCAGACGTGGCTACGAGCGATTGCAAGGCACGACGTACCCGGCACCCACGTGGATCAGCAGCTTCAAAACAAGACCAAAGCTGTCTCCGCGCGCTATCGAAACACGACAGTCCGTCCGTCCGAACTCTCCACCGTCAGCAGAACCTTCGCGCCGAGTTTCGATGCTGTCTGCAGCGCGTCCACACTTTGTCACTGCTTCATCGTAAACATCGCCGTCCATTCGATATGCCACAGGAAGTGAGGGCTGTGCACGAGTAGCATGGCATGTACAGGATCACGTATAGTAGTACCATATATCGAGTATATTCCTTGCTCGTCTTGGACCTGTCTGCCAGTAACTGAGACGCTGAAACCGTGCGCTGTTGACCTCCAGTCGCTTGGCAAATGGCTACACCGACTTGCACACTATAGCACCGAAAGGACAAGTTGTTGTAAAAAACAAGAGGCTCGAAACATGGCAACACGACAACAGCTCGAGCCGTCGAGCACTGCCACAGTGTACGTCAACTCATCGGCCTATGGCTTCTGCGTCTTGCCAGTCGAGCAATTGCCAGAGCTCAAGCAGCGCCTCTTGCAAGTCGCAGCGCGTTTCGGACTAGCGCAGCTTCGAGGCACAATTCTCTTGTCGACAGAGGGCGTGAACATTCGACTCTCGGGCACGTTCGAGGCCGTGGCGGCCATGAAAACCGCCATCGCCGGCCTCGCTGCAGAGATCCGGGGCCTCGAGTTCAAAGACTCGTCTTCGAACCGGCTCACGATGCTCAGGATGCTGGTGAAGATCAAGAAAGAGGTCATCTCCATGGGAGTGCCAGCAGTCAATCCGGCCGTGGACGGCCTGGCAGCCCACGTCTCGGCGCAAGAGTTCAAAACGTGGATGGACAAGGGCAAAGATATGCTCATTCTCGACACGAGGTGCGCTCTACTAGAGCCTATGGGTCGTACTGGTCAGGTCAAGAGACTGACGACCAAGTGCTATTGTTGTTGTTGCTATTGTTGTTGTTGATTGCTATCGTAGAAACGACTACGAGGTGCGCTTGGGCACGTTTGACAAGGCCGTCGATCTCGGCATCAAAACGTTTCGGGCCTTCCCAAGCGAAGCTCGAGCGCAGCTCCAGCAGGTGCCTAAGGAGAAGCCCATTGTCATGTTCTGCACGGGCGGCGTGCGATGCGAAAAGGCGTCGTACGCGTTGCTCAATGACGGGCACAAAGAGGTCTACCAGCTCGACGGCGGTATCCTCAAGTACTTTGAGACAGTGGGCGCCGCGCACTACAAAGGCGACTGCTTTATCTTTGACGACCGCGTGGCGCTGAAACCCGACCTCACCGAAGCAACGATTGTCTGCTGCTTTGTATGCCGCAGTCCGCTCTCGGAAGAGGAACAGCGCTCGCCCGACTATGAGGTCAATAAGCACTGTCCGTATTGCAGAGCTGGTCAGCTGGACGGTCGCCACAGGGACAAGTGAGTCCCAATTGGCGGACACTTGTGGCCATAGTCAAAGTCGAAGTGGTCAAAGTCGAAGTAGTAGAAGGAAAAAGTAGTAGTAGTCGAAGTCGTCGCACTCTTCCAGATGTTTCGACTCGACGGACGTGATACAAACGCCAAGTGGAACATGTCGTCTGTGTCGACTCGAGTGCTTGTCGTCAAGTGACTTTGTTGCCAAAATAGAAACGATCGACGATACCGTTTCTATGTTTTCGCGTCATCGAGCGTCGCGCAAGCCGACGGACGCAAAACTGATTCGTGGAATGCTACTGCTACCGAAACGTCGCCTGGCGTTTGACAGTTTGACTGGCAATCAATCGCGTGGTCAACAACAAGTCGCATTGTCTGACTGCTTCAGTTGTCGATTTGACATCAAGTTCAGAAGTGGACCTATCGAGTTGAGGCGAACAGTCGCTGCTGCTGCTGCTACTGAGGACAAGTGAAAAAGTGCCCATTAGATCAACCACCAATAGTCGAGCACGTAGTAATAGTTGTTGCAGTTGTTGCAGTTGTTGCAGTTGCAGTAGTTATAGTAGTAGACGATCAGTGGATAGTGTCCTCCATACACCGGAGAAAGCTCGACGAGATGCAAGTGGCACCAGTGCCACAACCACTAACGCCCCGTGCAGTAGACTCCGTGTGGAGACCAACCTCTCGAGCCACCGTCAAGTGCATGGCCTCAGCTTTGCGCGCGAGGCGCTTCATCGGGGCCTCGGTCTTGTTGCTGTGTGGGTACACGACGTACTCCATCGTGGAGCCCATGAGCCCACACGCTCTACGACTCGCTCATGGATCAGACGCCCAGGAACTCGATCGTGACGATCCCTTTGCCAGAAACGTGCGCCACATTGCTGCTCGGGTAGGGGTCACGTGCCCGGCACAAATGTCCATTCGCGTGGGCAAACGCTCTGCTGGAGCGTCGACAGGGGCCAATCTCACCATTCGCCAGCGAGGCGCGTGCATTGTGCTGCCCATGGAGCTCTACGACGCGTTCTACGCTCCGCCCCACTTGCACGCCAAGTACGACATCCCGACACGAGACGAGATTGACTTTGTCCTGGCGCACGAGAGCGCACACATTGCCAGGAACCATACAGTCTATGCCGGTGCTTTTCTTCCTGCGTCGCTGCTCGGGAGTTGCGTCGCGATTCGGACGATCCCGAACAAAGTGGTCGCTGGGGTCGTTGGCGTTCTAAGCATGATTGGCACCAACGTGTGCCTCTCGTGGAGCTTGGAGCACGAAGCAGACCACGTCGCTGCCGAAAGCGGCTTTGCTCGTGGCGGCATCGCCTGCTTCCAGCGGAAGCTCTCTCGGAACAACGCGATCCGAGCAGTGTCCAGCACGAAGCTGATCACGGCGAGGGGCAACTACTTGGGCGACACATTGCATCCACTGCTGACCTCGCGCATTGAGCGACTCGAGCGCCTGACTTCTGCAGCAACAACGGGGCCCCACCGGCTTGTGGTAGTGCCTCCCGAGACAGACACCAGCTCAATAGCAGCGACAGGCTGAGCTTCTTTGCAGCAGCAGCAGTAGCAGCGATCTGCCATCGGGGACCGATTCATCTCTAGTCGTCCAGCAGCTCCATCCATTGTCCAGCAATCCATGCCATTATCACGACAAGCTTTGTCCATTCGCACTGCAGCCGCTTGGAAGCATTTACATGACGCCCTTGCTCTCCCTTCCAATTCGAGACGACATCAACTCAATGGCTACTCTCACGCACTCAGCGACGTCCGGTCGCATGCACGGACGTCTCGGCGTGCATTTGCTGCTCGAGCGCTTTCTGTGCCTTTTGCACCAGCAGCGCCAACTGAGACCGTTCTTTTGCCGAGCGCTGCTTCAGTCTCTCGGGGGCCAACATGCGCTTGTCCACTGCTTCCTGCACCGCCCGTGGCAACTCGCGCGAGATGAACTTGAGGATCTCCACGCGGTACATGCACGTGGTTTCCACGTCCAAGAGCATTGGATCGGCCGTCGACGGCGTCTGGAGCTGCGCGAGCTTCAGCCGAATGTCCGACCCCACTGCTTCGCCCACGGCATCGACATCCGCTTCTCGTTTCGCCTCAGCGCTCGCGTCGCAGTGCACGCGCAGGAAACCTGTGATCCGCGCCGTGATGCACGCCAACAAGTCGCTTCGGATCTCGGACGCCACGCGGCTGAGCTCACGAACAGCTCTGTCTTCTGGCGAGTACACGCCAAAGCTCGACGGCGGATCCGAGACAGACGTTGCGGAATCAACGCGCAGGCGCTTGAGCGGCGAACGACACGTGGACGGCGACGGCTGTTCATGGCGATACCAGCGCTGCGGACGTCGGTCCAGCTGGTCCTGACTGTACGAAGACGGCGTGCTCACGAAGCTGAGGTTCCCGCGTGCACTTGTGCTCGACGGAGCCCGTCGACCGCTTGGACTGCTTCGGTTCGCCAGAAGCGTCTGCACGGGGCGCAGCTGAAAAGGTCCAGCCCCTGGCGTCCGAGGCGTCCGGACATCGTCCCGTGGTGTGCTCTGTCCTGGATGTCCCTGACGCAGCTGCAGCAGCGCCAACTGCGGTCCCACGACGACGCTGCTGGAGTTACTGGCACTAGAGCTGGGGATCGCAATCGATGGCAGCGACAGGCGCGAGGCCACACTTGGAGACGTGGCGTAGCTCGTTGGGGCCGGTGGCTGCGTGTACTCGTGTCGCTTGGCGCTGCTGCTCGAGTGGTCGTCGGCACTGCTGCAGCGCTGCACCAGCGAGTGCAAGAGCCCCGTGAGCTGCTGGTTGGTCCACTGGAGCCTGCGCATCTCGTCGCGCAGGCCACCGACTTGTGCCTTGAGGTCGTCGAACTCCACCCGATCGACACGAGTCGCTGTCGATGCTGTCGCAGCAGTAGTAGCAGCAGCAGCAGCAGCAGTTGTAGCAGCGCCAGCCATCGACGTCCGGGGGGTCACGATCCGCGTGCCACAAGGCGAACGTCTTCGGATCTCACAGAGCCAATCGCGTCGGCCTCGAACGAACCGCTCGTGACGGAACTCCCACCACTCGCTCGCGTCTTCGAGCGCTTGCGCCGCACGCAGTTGTCGCCGTCGTCTGCCTTCCGAATCGTCCCCTGCGTCCGTGTCCAGCCCGCCACTTGCTCCGAGTGTCCGGACCTTCTTGAAGCCATACAGATTGAGCTGCCGGACGAACGAGCTGAACTTGCAGTGCTTAAAGTACGTGGGGATCACGTGCGCGGCAAACGCGGTCGGCTGCTTGACGACAAAGCTGTCGCCCTGAGCTGTCCAGCTCGCGACCTCGGACGGACAGCGCGCCAAGAGCTCGTACGTCTTTTCGAGAAACAGCGCGGCGTCGCCTTCTCGTCGGGGCCGGTCACAGCCGCTGATGCTACTGCCTCCTCCTCCTGGTCCAGAGCTCGACGAACTCGCCACGTGAATCCGCAACGGACAGCGCTCGCCCACGTTCTTGTGCTGCCCGTCTCCTTCTGCCATCCCTTCTTCTTCTTCTTCTTCTTCTTCTGCCATCTCTTCCTCGTCTTCTCGCTCGATCTTGACGTCTTCCCACGTCATGTTTTGGTAGTACGCTACTTGTGCTGCAACGTGTGGAGCTCTTCGTTCGACTGTGTGTGTGTCAACTTGTCGGTCGCTTTGTTTGGTTGTTGGTTTGTTGGTTTGATTGATCGATCGATCGCTGGTTTGATTGCTGGCGGTGGTCTCAGTTCGGTTCTGGGACGCGTGAACAGGTCGTTCCATTTCCCCCATCGCACCTGCTGCTCCGCACGGCTCTACGCACTGCACTTGGCTACACACTGGTGCAGTCCGTCCGCGTTAGGTTCGACGTGGCCGCCATGGCCCTCTTTCGACGCGGGGTCGAGAGACGGGCCGCTTTTGGTTGTCTCGTCTGCTTTGCGGTCGGTCAGTCAGTCAGTCAGGTAGGCAGGCCGTCGCGGTGGGTGTATACTGCGTATACTGTGGACGAAAAGACTTGTGGCGACTGACGCGATTGGAGCGGACGGGGCTGTTGAGCCGGAAAACGCGTCACGCCAGACAAGGCGAACGCGGCGGTTACTTCACGGCAGACGAGCTCAAGCTTTTTGAAGGGTAATCAATCAATCAATCAATCAATCGATCGATCCGTCGTATCTTCTGTTGAGATTTCAAGCGCCACAGATCAGTCGATCGATCGATTGGCTGATCGATCACCGAACGGATGCGACGTGGGTGGGTGTGCTTTCTGTCTGCTGTGGACGTCCGTCCACCTGGTCCGCCGTCTCGCAATTACATGGAAACCCACAACACGAGCGCAAACGACACCACTCGTGAGAACAGCGATCGTGCTTTCCCTCTGGCCGGTCATCATTTCCGCGACCGCGTATACCGCTGCAAACGACGCAACTTGTTGCGGCTATCGAGCCACTGTGGGAAAGTATCGGAGCGGTCGTCCGTTGCTTGCCCGCCTACAGATTCAACCGTCCGTCTCGTCTGCCAGGCGGGGAGGTCATGAAGCACCGAAACCCGCTGGCTATCACGCTACACGGCGGTTCAAGCCGCGTCTGGTCGGTTGCTGCTACCTTGCCAGCATACGCCCAGTGGTCGCGCAAATATGCGACATGGACACCATGGCAAGAAAACAGACGACCTCGACGGGAAGTCGATCGTCCGCTTGCAAGCGACTGTTTGCAAAGGATGGGGTGGGGACAGTCCGCTCTGGTCACGGATAGAAACACGCGACGCGATCGGCTTTTGCGCAATCTCCCGCCCCTGCTTCCTCCCGCCTCTTATGCTTTGTCTGCTACATTTAGTTGAGTCTCGTGAGACATGAACAGCCCATTTGGATGCTGCGGCCAGCAAATACACCACAGTGACACCGACTCACGCGCGTGGGCAGAAAGAAAGGGCGGACGGTGTGCCACGCGAGACGGAGACGATCGTCCGATCCGGTCGTCCAAAGCGACAAGAGACGTGGCAGCTACACATAAAAACGAATTACACTGCGGACAGAAACACGCCATTTGGGTACATGGACCGTCTTTTTTGCCCCTTGCAACGCCCTTTCTGCGCGCTAGCGCTGTGCGCAATAGCCAACCAAATCCATGAAAGTCTCACATAGAAATGGGTCCGACCCCTTTGACAGAGAGCTCTGCTGCTGGTGGATCGCCCCGCGTGCTGCAGCGCCGTCTCGTGCGCGCGCTCGCTGGCGCTGGATCGGGAGACGTCGTCGGTGTGTGTTGCAGTTCTTCTGCCTGTTCGCCGGCGTTGTTGACGTCTTTGTCGTCGTCTTTTTTTCTCTTTTGTCATCTTTCCATCTCACGTCTAACCAGACGTCTACTGCTGTGTGTGGTGGACATGTCACTCGTTTGCGTGTAGCGCTTGTGCAGGAGCGCGTGCACTCGACGAGTGTGGGAGCAGAAGCTGCGTTTACGTTTCTCTTGCAGGTGATCGAAGAACTGGACGATGCGATTGAGGAGTTTCTGCCTTCTCGACCACACTCCGAGCCACTGGTTCATGACGACGAAGTGGAGCTCGGCATGCTCTTGTCCACTGCGTCTTTGGTACGGCCAGAAAGGAGAAGCGGAGCGAAGCGATGCAGCGCAGGGCTGTTCGACAAGAGCGAAGCCGAGTGTTTGCGGCCGTCGACTGAGTGTGTACTTGTTGTGCGGTTCATGCGGTAGGCCGTTCGATACGTGACAGAGAAACAAGCGATGACGCCGTTGTTGCAGCGTTACCGCGACGCATTCAAAAAGGTGCTGCGCTATCCAGAATGGACGCATGAAAGCTACAGCGGACTGAAAGCGGTGGCGCTGATGGGGACGACGCGAGTGCTCGAGTCGTTTGGCAACGACGTTCCAGCGCCGGACGTGATGCGGCAACTGAGATGGCTCTTCTCGCTGTATCAAGATACAAGTTTGTCCGATACAGAGCTCGCACAGCGTCTGAATACACTGCTACGCCCGGCGTGCGAGTACGTGGCTGTGGCATTGCAGACCCACGTGTCTGCTCGGGATGTGATCTTTACAGAGGTAGCGTGACGAGCTTTAGATGGCTTTGCGGGTATGTTGTTTGTCCACGGCAAAGCGGCTGAACAACAGTCGATGGTTTGTTGGCGGTTGTCGTAGGTCCTACCGCACCTTGTGGCGCTGCTGATCAAAGAAGGAGCGGACACGCAAGAGACGGCAGTCGCTGAAGTCGTCAAAGTGGACTTGGCGTCGACTGTAGCCGTGCTATTGGAAGCCAAAGGACCGTACACGTCTCGGAATGCGTTTGCATTGCTGACGCTGCCTGAGTTTGTGGAGGAGATGGAAGCAGATGAAGCAAAGGTCGTAGATAGCATCGACATGTTTGCTACAGCAGCTCAGGCCACGACAGATCGACTGGAAAGTGTTGACGAGGAAACAAAAAAGCTCTCAGCTACTGCTGCTGCCAGAGAAACGGACGAGGAATGCTGTCGGGTGCTCTGTTCTTGGCTAGCAGTAGGTACTCGGAGAATGGTAGCAGCTCAAGCGCTTGCTGTGATGTACCGTACCATTGCAAGTGGCTCTGGGATCGACAATGGAGCTGCGCGTGTGATAGCACATACTACGCCTTTGGAAGAGATGACAAGAGCGTACGTAGGTATAAGCTCGATACGTCTTCCCATTGTCTGATCTTCTCTTGCTGTGGTCGTTGATGTCGTGCGACTTTGCCAGACTGGACGATGCCAGTCTGACCCGACTGCCGGATTTCGACTTTGTCAATGCACTCCTCGAGTCGATTCGAGACATTTGTCTTTGCCAGCATCAGCTCGCTACATCCACGCTCGAAGGATTGTACAAGGCACTGATTGTCGTGATGCCTCGACTCGAGGTGAGCTCGAAACGCATTGCTGGAACAGTAGAGCGAAGTTGGGGTCGGTAGTTGTGTCTCGCGCTCACGTACGTTTTGTGGTCGAATGCACTATAGACAGCATTGACCGTATTCGCCAAGGAACACTCGAGCGAGCGACGTAGTGCCAAGCGATTGTGCTCAACGATTCGACGTACACTTGTGGAGACGTTCCTCTCGTGGCTTCACCATCCAGACACGGCCAAGTTGCTTGCACTTCAGGTTGACTTTTTGCATAACGTGGCTGGAACACTTGCTGATCCGCGCGTGTATGGTGACGTACTGGCTGTTCTTCGTGGGTCGACGGTACCCGAAGGTCGGACAGAGTACCTCTCGGGCCGACAAGTTGCGGTTGTGACGCTTTGCCAAGCAATGCATCAACTCGATCGGTATTCCCAATCCACGACAAACCGTATTGTCTCAGGCCTCACTCGCGTTGCAGCAGCATGTCGCGAAGATGTCCAGTCGCTCGCAAATGAGCTCGTACTGCCTCTGCTTCCCTCTATGCTCGACGGATCGCAGTGGGGAAAGTTCTTGCGCCTTCGGACGGAAGCCGTCGCAACTGTTCTTGTCGGGTGTGCTGCAAGTGATGACTTTGAGGTTCGTGGATTGATTGCAACTATCCGTTGCTAGTGTGATGGATACCCGTTCGTCCGAGAGTGATACGCTTATCCTGCTTTGTCGTTCGTGCTGTGCAATGACAATGGTGCAGGTCGCCCACCACTCGTGGATCAGCGAGTTCATTCAGTTTCTGCTCGAACCGATCGTGTCGTCCGAGAACGTGCATTCGTTCATGGTCTTGTGTGGCTTAGTCCGTGCCGAGCGCAAACTGCTGCTCCATGTCGCGTCGTTTTGCATGGCGCATCCGCACACAGTGAAGCAAACGTTGCGTGACCCGCTGGTTCGATGGCCACTCTACGAAGAAGATGTGGACCTCGTTGTTGTCACGCTTGACCTGTTCGAAGCGCTGCTCAGCGTCAAGACCCTGCGAGCTTCGGTGGATGTGGACGTGATCTATGCTACGATCTTGCAGCTTTCGGAGAACGCAGCAAGCGAAGGTCTGGACTCGATCACGATGGCATGCAAGCAACTGATGGAGTCTCTGGGGTCGCAGGTCTGAATGGGTCAGGCAAAATTATTGTAAGCTTTGTCGTTTGTCGTCTCCTTCTTCTCCTCTAGGGATCTGGTTGCGTATGTCGACCAAGTGAGTGTTTTGAGAATGCACGTCCAGATCAGGACTTGTACTAGTTCGTGTGTGAGATTCTCCGCAATGTATCGCCTATGGATGTAACAGGTCGTTGTGGCCATTTGTACCTGACCGAAGCTGACGAAAGAAAACTCGTGAGCGCAATGCGTCAATGACACTTTCTCGTGGACTGTGCTGGTACAGTCGTAACATGAGCTGGTTTTGCTCTTGTCTAGCCGATTGTTGATCTCATGTTGGACATGCGGTCAGGAAGTTTGGTCGTGAAAACGGGTATATCTGTCTGCTAACTGCCTATTGACGGCAATCAAGCGGGCAATTGACTACAGTGTACCGGACCGAAAGACCCGATGAGTGCATATCTGGGATACGATTCACCATTTGTGCCTAAACAACTTCCACGACGCTACAGTTTGTTTCTAGCGTGAGCCCATACACATACGCTCGACTATTGCTGTAAACACAGTCAACACACACAACATGCGTACGAGCGCCACCACGTCGGCGAGAACCCTCGAAACGTACCTCCAAACTGCAATTGAAACCAGCGAAGAAGTAGCACCTGCATCGCAGCAGCAAAAGGCGTCACGAAGGTGCGAGAAGGAGAAAGACCCGCAGCGGGAGCCAAAATTGTCGGCACTTTCCAGCGCGATGCACGCAGAACCACTCGTTCAGTCACTAACATTGCAGAAACCCAAGCGACGACGACGCAAGTCGAGACTCAGCAACTCGATCCGGCAACGTCACGGACGTGGAAAGGTCTCATTTCGTGTCTCCGGTCTGCTAACAGCCGACCAGGTCGACGATGAAGACGAAGTCGAGGAACTGCAGACCGAAATGTGCGAAGACTTTTCCCGCTTCGGACGTTTACAAAGTGTGGACATTGTTCGAGCACCAAATGTCCAGAGGCCGTTGTCCATTGGTGACGTTGTGGTGACGTTCGAGGAGGAACAACATGCAGCCGCAGCCTTTGGTTCGTACGATGGGAACGTCTTTGGTGGACAGATCGTGACGTGTAGTTGGGAAAAGCAGAGAACCAGCGACAAGAAGAACACGGACAGTGCCTTTGCACTCTCATCGGGGCACTTGACGTCGGAAGAAGTGCATGACGTTGACGAAGCGGTAAACGTCAATGACGATGTCGTGGCAACGTTTAGTCAACTTGGAACTGAAGAGACGATGCAGTCGAGTGAGGCGATAGCGAACGCAACTGCCGCTTTCAGTGATGCAGATGAGCAGGTGCGGAACGGCGGACATTCATGGACAGCAGATTGTAGACTTCAGCATAGCGAGTGTGCCGGCGATGGCGTGGAAGCCCCAATCGTTCAGGTACGAGTACGCCTTGTCGTCAATGATGACCGTTGCTATCCTGTCGAGCTGCTAGCGATGCAGTGTGGCTGACACCTTTTGACACCGCAGCCTGCAGAATCGCTTGAGCTCGTGGAACTTGTTAGTCGACTGCTAAAGCGGCTTGCTGCTCTTCAGGTATTACCAGGGATCACACGCTTCGTGAACCATTGTCAATCGGGACTCACGCTGCGATGTATCGTTCAGGAACGCGCACATAAGCAGCACCCGCGGCACAGCAGACGGTCGCGACGGCTCGTGCTTGGCATGCATGAAGTGCGGCGAGGTCTTCTGTGCAGCAAAGTCCGCTTGCTGGTTATGGCAGCAGACCAGGATGAGTCTGACGTGCTTGACGAGAAACGGGCCGAGTTGGTGTCGATAGCAGCGAAACAGGGAGTGCCTACACTCATGCCCATGAACAGGTTCGACTGACTGGCTTGACGTTCCGTGCATGGTGTCGATACTGAATGAATCTGTCGATTGCTGCACTGCGAACGTTGTTGCAGACGGAAGCTGGGCAGGGTACTACAAAAGAGCGTGCGTGTGAGTTGCGTTGGCGTGTACTCGATCGAAGGCGCGAACGACCTCTTTCTGCAAGTGGTGCAACGATTCGCGCAATAAGCAGTACGTACATTGCATTTATCCAGTAGAGTCACGCTGTGGCCTTGCGCCAAGCTGCCAGCATTGGTAATACTGTCGAGGGTCAACGCTTGTACCATCTTCACATCGTTTCCTGTGTGCAACAAACATGTAGCTCGCTGAGCCAAACTAGAGAAGGCGAGCACGCGATTGAGAGGTACGTTTGCAACGTACCTCTTGTGTCCACTGGCGCGAAACTGGTTGATGCGTCTGCACGCTCGGACTTGGCTAATCGCAATGGCTTCGTTGGCTGCCGACATGTACTTGTAAAAGTCCACGTCTTCGTGCATGGGCGTGCTGTTTGGCAAGAACGGAGGAAACTGGGACACGTTGCTAGCGTGCATGCTACCGCTCTGAGCAAGTCGGTCTTCCAAGATCCTCACAAGCTTTGGCAGGCAGCGACTTGCCCGAAGACCACGTGCGACAATGTATCGCTCCGAACTCGCAGGACGGCTGGTCTGCGAACACGGAATCAACGCATGAGCATGTTTTGTGCTAGCTCAATGCAACAGCAAACAGTACGTTGGAACTTACAATGGGCTTCACGACTGCAAAGCGTCCGAAACAGCGATGCAGTATCCAGCACATCTGCATCATCGTAGGCGTTGTCACCTCAAATGTCTTGCAGACGAAATCCCCACCCACGCGCAGCACAGCAAACATGGCGAGGACTTCGGCTACGACCAACTTGGTCAGCATTGATTCCTGTCGAACCATATCAAGAACCTCGCGCTTAGTTGTTGCATATGTTATACAGACAAAGCCGAGGGAGGGCCTCCTGACCTGGTTGCATTGCGATCGAGCATCGGGGAACCCTCCATCAGCCACCACCAAGTCCACACCACTCGACTGACGTGCCCGCACAACATCCCGGAACGTGTGAATGTTCGCAACCGAATAAATGTTACCCGTTCCGTCCTCGCCGTCACAACGTGTAAACAAATGCTGGAACGCGGATGGCAGACGCCAGTCGCAACTGTTTGCCGCGTCTTTCAACGTGATCCCATAGCCACGATACGCACGTTCGTGTTTGCTTCCTCCATCGCTCCCCGCACGAGACACTCTCCACAGCAAATACTCACAGAAACCTCCGGGGCCTCCGCAAATGTCGGCAAAGCTAAACGAGTCGTCGGGACAGCTCCCCACGCCGCGTGTCCACTGGAAAATGTGGTCCAACGTCACCAACTTCATCGCTGACCGGTTCAAGAAGCGATGTCGCCCCAGTGTCTCGAACGCATTTGTCGAGCCGCGTGCACGCAAAAACTGCCCGTGCTCCATCTCGTGGAACTTGTGCTTCTCCTGCTCGAGTTCTTCCAGCACTGACAGGTACGACGGCACGCTCAGGTGATTCTTCGCCGCATCGTTTGCTTTCTTGACGCCCTCAGCCAGTGCTGTCTCCAGCGGATCACCTGCAGCTGAACTCGTCTCTGTGCACAAGAGAGACACGACGCCATGAAGACCTTTTTCGATACTGTTCACGGACAATTCGGTGCACTTTTCGACCAGCTCCGTCCCGGGCATCAGCTGCGGTAGTCCTCGCGCTGTGGTACCGTCGCGCTCAGCTTTCTCCACGCGACTCGGCTTGCGACGACGATGCTGGCCAAACGACGTGAAGCCCATGATTTGTGCCATTGCGTCTGCGTCGCCACTCATTGTTTGTGCGCGACTGTTCAGTCACAGTCCGTCCGTCGATGACGGGCCGTTCTTTCCACACTGTAGGCACAAGACACCACACACCGCACACACAGTCCAAGACCGAAGTGCCGTCGACTATATTATACTACGAATCTATGCTGTACGCATGTCTTCCTTCCCGACATGCCGACTCCAGCCACGTCCACTACACGCTCCAGAACACGCAAAAACTACTCACCAAGCAGAAGTCGAACAGGAAAGCACAACAACAGCGTCGCCACAGCAACCAGAGCGCACGCGTGCGCGCTCTACTCCTTGCGACTGCTTACAGAGAGCCGTTCTCGTTGCTGTTGTTGCCACTACCGCCGACTACGTTACTGCCATGGTGCGACACGACACCATTTGCGAGACCGTCCGGCGCGATGCTGGAACTCCGAACGCCACGAGCAAGAACCGAATCCAGCTCTGCCTCGAGCTGCAGCTCCCGCGCAACGCTCTCGCTGAGCAGCTGCTCCAAGTACTTGATGCGGCTCTGGTCCGGTGCCAAGAGCAACGCCTCGCGTATGTTGCGTCCTTGTGCGCGCTGGCGAGTGCGCTCCTCCACTCCCCGGTGGTACCGACTCAGCACGCCCTCGTCCACCATCGGAAGACGGTTCTCAATGGACGCCGGACCTTCCGCGTCCGCTTCACTGGCTGCCGGTACCGTCATATCGAGCTCGTCCACTGTCAGTGACGACACGCCATCATACCGCGCCTTCACATTCGGCGAGATCTCAAAGTCGTCGTCGTCGCTCATGTCTGAGCAGTCGGAGAGCGTCTTGGCTCGGAACTCGTCAAAGTCGTGAATCACGTCGATATCCAATTCCACCTTGTCTTCCAGATCGCCACCGATCGGCATGACGGACGGAGGATCGAGTACGCTTGTCTCGCGAGGACTCCCGTCCTCGTCAAACTCATGCGTCGAACTGTCGTCGTCGGGCTTCTCCACAGGGTCCATGTACTCCATATAGTCCGGGTGACTCTCGGGGTCCCATCGGAAGAACATGCCGTCCCAAAGCACGACGCGCTTGAGGTTTGCCCGAGGATACAGCACGCGGTTCGTTGGCCGATACAAGGGATTCTTGTAAGGTCCTGGGTTCTCTAGCACGGGCGTCCATACGGACTCTGTGCGCTCCCACACCTTGTCCAGCACGCGCTCGCGCTCCGAGTTGTATAAGAACGTCCCATACAGACCAGAGATCAGCGAATCTGATATGTGCAGCAGAAACTTCTCGTTGAACTCAAAGCATGTCGGGAACTGCCGCGTCATCTGCCACACGCAGTCCAGGAACTGCAACATGACGGGCGACCGTTCATTTGGCTGGTCAGTAATGTCCTTGCCCACGCCAATTCGGTCCGCGAACTTGTGCCCAAACGAGCACCACTCCTTTTCCACGAGACTGGCAAAGCCACGGAGGGATCGATAGAAGGGGTCTAGGATAAGTTGTGCCAGCGCCGCGAGTTGTGGCGTCCTATCCCAACCGTCGCTACAGTGTACCAGCACCGAAGCGCCGTCTTCGTGGAGCACTTCTGCTACCCTGCGAGCGCCCGACAATACGCGCATCACATGCTTTAGCCACCGAGTGTCTACAACAACAACACAAAACCGTGTGAGTTCGACCAATCGAAACAACAGCTAACATGGATAAACACTGCGTACTCTCGAGGCGGTTGTGGTAGTGCTTGTCGCCGTCCTCAACGCTGCTAGGACTGACTAGCGCTGCAGCATCGAAAAAAGATAACACGACACACAATCCACAGTCAGCAATAGCATCGCACACAACAAACGGCAAACGACGTTTTCGCTGACACTTTAGCGCATCCAAGGACTCGCGCATCTTGTGAATGTTAGCAATGCCCATGAACTCAATAGTCGCGTTGTCGTAATGCTGAGAGTTCTCAACACCTGCACAAGCACCACACACAACCACAACCAACGTCAGCAAACATCCATCCACTAACATCCTACCTGATGCCATCGCGTACCTTTTCCCTTCAACCGATTGCCCTTCGTGGCGATCGGCTTCCGTGCGTCAATAATGTGAAGCGGAGGCGACATATTCGAGCTGTTCTTGTTGGCCGAGTCACGGTACGCGCGCAACAGTATCCGGTCCGGCTCGGATCGATTGCCCGCCATGCCGTAGTTCGGCTGGCTCGAGCGAGACAACACGCTCTTGTTCACGGGGTGGCGCCACACGACCACAGGCAGACGTGCTCGTGAGCGAAAGCGTGCCGACTGCACGAGCTGCTCTTCCGACATGAGCGACGGCACGACCATCAGCTGTGGGTACGTCGGACTGAACCGGAACTTGGAGTTCTTCAGCAAGCGCCACGTGATCACTCCTTCTTCTTCCGGGTGCTTCTTGGCCGAGAGGAACCCGAGCCGCTGGTACTCAGCAAACGGCGAGTACACAAACCAGCCATTGTGTTTCTCCGGCAGCGGCGCGCCGCGTTGCTTGGCCTTCTCCGTGTGGTAATCAAACGCAAACAACGCGCCAATCATATTGGGCGGTTTCATGCGCAGCGTCAGCAAGTTGAGCCACCGAAAGTCTGGCGTCGACGGCAACTGGTCGTAGCCTTTCTTCCGTGAGTAGGCGTCGTGCATCGCCAGGCGCAGCGTGCGCAAGTCCTTGCACGTGATCAGCAACATGAGGCCGTCGCGCGTGATCAGGTCAATGGCGGCCAGCGGGAGCTCAAACGAGCCAAACTTCCACGACGCGTCGTACGGGACAAACGTGATGCGGTGCGACGTGATCTTGAGCACGCCCTGCACGGCGCGGTCGCTCTGCGACATGACCACGAGGTTCGTCACGCGCTGCACGTGCTCGAGCACCGACTCGCCGGGCAGCAGCTGAAAGTGGTCGCTCACGAGCGAGTCGCGGAGCTTCGAGCGCTCGCACGTGCTCGAGACGGTCGAGACGGCTTCTTCAATCACTTCTGCAGGTGGCGTGCGCGCGGGCGGCGCAGTGGTCACGGTCTTTTTGCTGTACATGACCTTGCCCTGCTCCAGCGCCTGGACAAAGTTCGCGCGGTCTTCCGTGCTGTAGAACGTAATCTTCTTGTTCACGCTCGCGTTGCCCGTCTGGATCTTGAGCTGCATGCCGAGTCGCGACTGCGGCTTGGCCGTCACGGCGGCGCAGCTGTACTCCTCGCGCTGGTCGTGCGCCGAGAGAAAGTACAGCATGCGCTCGTCAACGTCGACCTGGAGCTGGATGCTCGCGCGCTTGCTGCCGAGTTTCTCGAGCACGCTGTCGCTCTTCTTGACGGTAAAGGTAAACAGCGTCACGTCCGAGAGCGGCGCGGTCGTGCTGCGCGTAAAGCCAAACACATTGTTGTTGGTCGTGGTCGTGGTCGCCGTGTTGACGCTGCTGCTCGTGCTGCTGCTGTGCGTCGAGCGACTGCGTCCGTTTTCGAGCAGGACGTTGGACGAGTCGCTCGTGGCGAACGCGTCGACGGCGCGCGCACTGCCCGAGAGGCCAAAGTGCGGCCGCTCAAACAGACTGTTGCTCTGTGTGGCTGACGTCGTGCAGACCGATGGGCAGCCGAGGGAATTGCGCGTCGCGCCAGCTGCAAAGTCAACTTGCGGATAACAGCGCGGACTCGTGCTCCTCGTTTCACTTGAAGTTGAAGCAGGGGTAGGACTAGCCCACATATCGCATAGATCGCTTGCACTGGCCCCGTCCCGATGCATCGCCGTCGTTGCTTTGTGGCTGGCGGCACTGGCGCCCGTCGTGCCGTGCAAGGGACTGCTGGGGGAGGCCGTCGTGGCCAGAAACGATCCACTCGACATGTCGTCCGACAGTTGCGTCGAGAGTTTCCGTCGCACGGACGAGCGAACGTGGCGGCCGGGACTGCTGGCCACGCTGTGGACGGGCGCGGGAGCCGCTGCCGGCACCTCGTTCTCGTCGATCGGAGTCTGCATGCCAATGAGTTTCCAGACGTTCGACGTCGCTTGGCCTGCTTGCGTGAGGTGCTTCTCGGCTTTCAGCAGCTTGTTCAGCGTCGCCGAGTCCATGGTAGACTGTCGCTGAGCGAGGTACGCGTCCTCCTCCTCGTCTGCATGTGCTTCCGTGCTCGTTGCCGTCGTTGTTGTCGCCGTGCACGTGAGCATGTCGCGCGGGTGCATAAGTTTAGACGGTCGGAAAACGAAAGAGACAAAAAAGACCTAGTCACGTTGTGAAGCCAATGGGCGCGTCTTGTTGCGGAACCAAAGGCGCACAAGTGCGGCGCGGGAGAGAGAGAGAGAGTGCGCGCGCACAAATCTTGGCAACGGGTGATCGGCAGTACCGTCGAGACCGTTACAATTGATCAAAAACACAACGCGGGCTGGGGGTTGCCGCTCGCAAGGGCAGTAGGGGTGGGGGTATGCAGCGCAAGTCCGCTTTCACTGCCGCCAACAACGTGCTGGACGAACGTCGCTCGGGTACGCGTCCTTGCCTCGTCCCGCCTGAAATGCCTTCGCTGCGTAGTCAGAGCGTGCGGAAGCCGTCGCTTGCTCTATAGTCCACGCGGGGTGTGTGTATGAGGGAATATTTCGGCGGCTGGCTCGCTGCGTGACTTTTCTGGCGTCGGGTTGAGGAAAGTCAAGCAGCCAATCAGAGGCGAGGGCGCAGAAACGATCCAAATACGGACACGTGGGATTGGGAGCTCTCATCGGACTGTTGCGCAGACGAAAGTTGCGGTATCCCACAGTTGTCGTGCGAGTCATGTTTTGACGCTGCGAGCGGTCAACCGAAACACGTCGAGAGGCTTTTTGTGGGTCGTCGAGCTCTTACGTTGGCGACTAAGTCGGCGACAGGTCCAGCAGAGTCGAGCCAATAAGACCGGATGAAAGTTGCCGTTGCCAGTCAAGTGACTCGATTGTTGCTGGACGTTGCTACCGCATTGTTCGCTTCTCACAGGTAACCTGAAAGTATCCCTTCTTCTCGGTACGACTACTATTGTACACACTTGATCCACACCTCAACACGTGTGGTACGATGTAAGGACAATCACAACGCGCGTCAAGTCGGAATGACGTTTGACAAAATGGTATCGGACAACCGCTACATCGAATGGAACACCGACTAGACAATAGTACTGGCACGTGTCATGGTTACGGGCCAGCTTGGCCTAGAAATGGTCTAGAGTCTTGACTTCTTGCACTGAAAGACAAGGGTCGATGGCCGATCTTTGAATGTTTTTATCCGATACACATCTGCCTCGTCAGATGTACCCTTGACTCTGTCAGCAGTATGAGCTCTCTATGTGCGTGAGGTCTTCTTATCATCGCCAGACGCCGTTGGTGAAATGGTATGCCGACACTCGGGCCAGGGCTACTAGTCCACGACACATGAGTTCTCTCACCGGTAGTCCCACCACTAGTCCCTGTGTCAAGTTTCCCGGCAGTCTCAAGCTGGCCAATATATGGTCTCGCGCACTGTCAAGGCAGTTCAGACTGTCAGACAAGCGGATGTCGAATGGAGAATCGATAAAAAAATAAACGATGAAAAGTCGCACGTGTGCTACTGGAAAATGTACATTCGTTTGAATAGGCCAACAGCGGCACTTCCTGATGCGTCTCGGTACTGGAGATGTCTACGGCCAAGTTCGTGTCTCAATGCAGCCAGGAAATGCAATACGAAGCTCGGAAAACAGAAGACCCCGTGTTCATGCAGACAGTATTCCACTTTGCCACGTCTTTTTTGACCTGCATATGCCGAGGTGCTGCTCGCCTGCTGCTCGCCTGCTGCTTGTGTTGCACTCTATACATGCAATGAGCCTTTGATGTGTGTAGTATGGCGTGGGCCATCGTGGAGCTCATCGATCTTGGCACGACTTTCACATGTACAGTCAACGTACTACCGAGTTCCTGACGGAACGGCTAAACGTGGACCACTACACAGTGCATCTCGTGTTTCGACTCAACGCAGTTTCCGGTAGTACGTGCTGGTTTACAAAGTTGAGTAAACCTCGACAAACAGTGTCATGGAGTCAACGAACGGTGAGTCGTTCAAGTCGCTTGTGTCAGAGCCTGCGATTATCGTTGCGATGCATGACGGTCGTCGTCATCGTGATGTTTACATAGATGTCACTTTTTCTCCTTGTAAGAAAAGAGCAAGTGTTCAAATCGTCGTGCCGATGCGGTCGATAGGAGACTTCCAGACACGGCGTCTCCCGCAAGTTGATCTAATCACATTCCTAGGAAATAGTCATTGCCAGTGCGAAGAAGCAGTCTTTTCTGTGAGGCCGAAAGGCGCGGGGTCCGGCTCCCAATATTGTTGGATGTAGAAGGAGTGGCGCTGAACCCTCCCTCGAGGCTTCAGCTGGAGCAAGACAGTCGGCTGTCCGAGAGTGTCAGCTGCTCGAGGCCACTTTCGAGTTGCTCGATCCAAAGATACATGGAGCGCGACCTCTGATAAGTTGTGAGTTCAGGAGACAGTGATGTTGATAAGCTACCGGAGGTTAGCGCCGAATAGATCATTGTGTCCTGAGCACACCTAACACCAGATCAATTCAATTGGTCGAAAATTGGGCCACCGCACCCGAAAGCAACACGTCCACTCCCCAACAAGTTGTATTGCTTTCGTCAACGAAAGAGCGACGAAGAGGGAGACCAACCCCAATGTTACTGATCTTTCGAAGGATAACGAGGTACGGTGCCTGCAGGATTATAGGTAAGTTTGACAAATACAAATAGGTGAGCGACACGTCCACTACGCTATTCCATGAAGTTTGAGCTTGCGTGGAAGCTGCAGCTATGTGGCGGATCGAGAAGGTAAGTTCCGGGTTCACGACGTGGCTCCGCCTCAAACACGGGTGACCTCAATCTTGCCAATGTCAACCTTTTCCCTCTTACACCAAAAATGACGTCCACGATTTGGACGATGGAAGCCGACATCATGCCGGCATTCGAGCGACGGTATCGCCGCTATCTTCTGCAGGATGCGATCGATTGTAATGAGTATGGAGAGGTCGACGACAGCTGCGATTCGACCGGCCTACTTCCATGCTCATATCTTTTCCAAGATCCCGTCCCCGCCATTTCTTTTTGCACAAGTAGATTCCTTCCAGATACAACACATTCATTACTGACGACTAGCGTCTGATACGCATTCTGTAGAGCTACAAAACAAGCCAAGTGATAAGTAACTCTCGATGCATACAGACATGCTGCTCATTCGGCTTGGAAGTTCAGTCTGATTGCTTGGCCGGATGAAAGACGAGGAGGAGGCGTCGTATGCGAAAGTCTATCGGAGGTTATTTCTTAGCGGAGGACAACGTACCGGAGGGAGAACTCTACTCATCATCATGTCTGATTGCGTTGGGGCAGCAGATGCGCTCGAGAATCAGAATTCCGGCTCGTTGATAGCGCGCACAACAAAAAAGGAGCTCTCGGTCACCAAAAAGGACGGACGAAATTGTCTCCCTGGCGACTAAACCCACTGTCCAAATTCGTTTGCAAGCGGACTTTGAAGTCCAAGCTGAGATCGACCTCAGGCAGTGCTGGTTGTGTCTGCCACGCCCCATTGTCTCCCGTAAATCTTTGTCCTAGGTAGCGAGTTGATGTCGGCGGTAAGACCAAAGGCTGATTGAGTAAAGCAAGGAAGAGAGTCCTGTTCCGTTCACGATGACGAATGAGCAACAAATCGCAGGAAAAGATCGATCATCATTTTCATACAACAAGTAGCTCTTTCGTCGCAGGAGGTACCAGCAAATTGCCAGAAAGGACACGAGCGCCAGTGTCTGGATAGTCCGGTGCAATCACTCGTGCAGGTGACGAGCAGAGCAGAGGAGAAGCGGCGGCGGATAGCCATCTACTTCGCCGCGCAGATCAGAGGCCGTTAAGAATTGGAAACGGAACATCATGGAAATCTTTGATGAGTCTATAGAGCTGCTAGGAATTCTGGGACATTTTGGGATGAATCTGTAGAGCTACTTGAATCCATGGAAGTCCAGCTTGGCCGGGTTTTTGTACGCAAAAGTAGCCAAGCTAACGTACTGTAGTTGTGGAAGCTGCTTATGTGAATACAGTAACGCGATACTACAGCGTAGATGTGTGCCGGCCGGAAAAAGAAGTGTTACAAAGACCTCTCGGAGACACAACCCTGGCGTGGTAGAGCGTCGATTGCATATCTCTAAAGAGCTGTTAGCACATTAGGCATCTGAAGTCGCCTCAAGTTTCTTTATGTGCTATGATACCCCTAGTCGTTTGGGAAGTGTCGTTGTGCACGATGTAGTCATGCCAAGCTGCGTCAACACGACGCAATGATAGAATGATCAAACGAAAACAGCGCACTGAGGTCAAGGGCTCGATGCCATTTGCACTAGAATCCTACAAAATGCTGGGATTGCTACTTTATGAAAAGAACGAAGTTACAATTGACATTTACTTGGGCTTCTAGGCGTAGATGCCCGGCTCGCAGTACTGAATAGCAATCTATACTTCTTTCGAATATGTAAGTCGTGTGACTGCATTGCTGTCTGCACAATGGGAAATGCAGTTCCATACGATGACGGTGTCTACAAAGTACACCTTTGCATGGACCCTACCACCTGATAATAATTATATAGACTGTGTACAAGGCTGTATGTAACGGGGCACTAATGACAACGTACTGGTTGACCAGTACGGAGCTCACTTTTACTGACAACAGTGATAGTCAGTGCCTTGCTAAGTGTTGCTTCAACATAGAGGAAGGAAAGGAGACTAAGTTCAGACTCTAGTCGCCGGTAAAAGTAAAACTGTTATATTAATACAATCAAGGTATATCAATCTTATGTCTCTGTTTGTCCTGACTTAATTATTTTAATCTAACGAAACGTATGATGACGTCTGATCAACACCCATTGCGCGCGTCTAGCAGCGATTGATGGGTTGATATCATCACGATATCAACCAATGAGTAGACCCTTCGGTCATCTCAACAATATCATCATGCTCTGTGATATTTCTGAAAGAATATTCAACGTAATATATTATTTGTTGTCATTTTAGGCTAAATGACAATATCATGAAACGGGCTATCCTGTTACATCACCCGTCCCTTAACTGATAGTCACCGTGTGATAATCGAAACTTTCGTGGCCACCCATCGGATGCAAATGGGACGGGGGGGCATTTGTTGGTCAGATGCATTCATTCTG